ATTGATTCTTTAAACTATAGCTTGAACATATTAAAACACAATTTGATAAACATTATACTTCACTTAAACGTCGTTTTGATGATAGTGAAACAGAAAATGAACGTCTTAGTGCTCAAAACCGTGCAGCAACAAAACAACTTCTTTTATATAAAGATCTTATTGAAGCACCAGAAAATTCTGATTCATCAAGTCCAAAAAAAGATTATCAACAATTAAAATTAACAATTGATTCAATTTTAAAAGAAAATGAACGTTTATATGCTGAATTACATGATTTTAAAACAAGTGATCCTGTTTATGATCAAGTTAAATTATTAGAAACAGCAAATAAACATTTAAAACATGAATTAATTCAAATAACAAATCAAAATAATCAATTAAAAAAATTTGCTAATATTGATGAAATCAAACATTTAAAAAGTCGTCTTTCAAAAACATCTGATGAAAATGAACAATTAAGATTATTAAATAAAAAACTTATGAATGAAATCGAATTACGTCAACAGCAATCACAAACACCATCACCTAAACAGGTTTGTCATTAAATATAAGAAAAGAAGAACAACATTTCTTTTGATTCTCATATATTTCATTCGATTTTTGAACACTTGATTTGCAAATCATTTTCTTTCATGTTTGTTCCCCTAACAGTCGATATACACATGTAATATTCTGCAATTTAAAAAACCTTGTACTGATCAGGTTTCTCAAGTACAAGTGAAAGAAGCCATTTAAAAAAAAAGAAAAAGAAAAAGGAACGATGTATCGTCTTTTATGATATGATGATATGATTTATCGACATTAATAATCTTGTTAACAAATAATTTCTTATTAATTAAAATAATTTTATTCAAAATTTTTTTATTTAAATAATAGAAAATTTGTTAAAGCCATTTTCGATGAATTCTGAATAAAGTTTAATCAATACAAATACGTCAAATAAAATTTGCATATATTTATATAAGTGTTCAGGCGTTGTACATCTTATTGAAAGAATTCATTTTCTTTTTGTTATTAATACTATGAAGTGTAAAGAAAAGAAAGAAGAAAAAGAATATGTAATATTATAATCTCAATAGATTTTTCGATCTAGTTACCAATTATTCTTTTCTTCTAACTATTTTTATATGTGTTTTAGACACGCTATTAAAAAAAAAGAATCAGAATATATATTTGTTTCAATAAAAATTAATGAGATTATTATGTTGGTCTTTTTTTTCTTCTTTTCTTCCATATATATATATATATACATTATTTTACTGTTGATTAATAAAACTAAAATCTACAATAGACTAACATACTTATATAAGACGTATAAAAAAAACATTTCTGTCTAGGTACGTGATTCTCTTCATCCACTTTCTCTACAACAACAACAACAACTACAATTACCACATTCACCAGCTTCACGACGTTCGAATATCAGTCCATCATCATCACCATTTGCTCAAAGATTCGGTGATGAAAGTAGGTCATTATTAACAATTCAAAATATACGACAACTTGATACTGTATCTGATTATCCCTTATCACATTCATCGGCATCAGCAAATATTGCTGATTTACATGATCATGTTCATTTATTAGAACAAAAATTACAACAACGTGATTATGAATTACAAACATTACAGATTGAAATCGAAAAAGGTACAAGTTCAATAATGAGTTCAGTTGAAGATCTATGTATAGCATCATCGACTGTTTCACCCACTCCACATTCTCCATCATTAAATCCTAAACTATTAGCCATAACAACAACAACAACAAAAAATCAACCAACAATTGAACAATTACAAAATGATATTGATCAATTACATGATAAATTAGATGAATTAACTCGTGAAAATCAAACATTAAAAAATCGTACACAAGAATTTGATACAATTTATGAAGAAAATGAATATTTATATGCCGAAAAAAGTCATTGGAATGAAGAAATTGAACGTGGACGTATACGTGAATTAGTATTAGAACAAGAAATTTATTCATTAAAAGAACGTGAAAAAGAATTTCTTATAACAAATGATTCAAATATGGATAGCTCTAATATAACACAATTAAAATTAAAAATTGATTGGTTACATCGAACAAATAATGAATTAGAACTTGAAAATGTACGTTTACGTGAACAAATGGATTTAATAACACAAAAATGTCAAGAAATGAAAAAAGAATTAATACATAAAGATGATCATCATAAACAAATATTATCAATTGTAGAAGATAAACAACAATTACCTGACGTAGATTAATAAATTTGATTTATAGAAGAAATTCACTCTTTGCTTTTTTTGTTTTGTTTAGGAATTAATTCGATTAGAAAAAATTAAAGTTAATATGGAAAATCAAATGGAAAAAGAAAGACAACATCATGAAAAAACGATTGCAACATTAGAAGAACAAAGTGATAAAAGAGAACAAAAATATAGTGTATGTTATGACAAAAAAGATTTTCGTTCAAATAGCTTAGATAAATATAGACGACGAAAACTTTATTTGAGAATCAGAAAAAAAAGCAAATATGTCTGAAGTTTTCTTTCACCTTATAGTAAATTATGCGTCAGTATTCTCAAGTGAATACCTTCAACATTGAACGTTATTGAAAGATTTCAATGAAGCTCATAGTAGACAGATAGATAGATTTTATTTTAAACATATATTTAGGCTCTCTATGATACTATTATTAAACTACAAAATGATTATCGTCAAAAAGAATTAGATTATGTTCAACAAATGGATGATGTTCTTAAACAACGTAGCGAACTTCATAGTCAATTAACTACACTTCAAAATGAATATAAACATATTCAACAAGAAAATAAATCTCTTAAAGAAGAAGTAAATGCTTTACTTTTAATTTTTCTTTTAATTGTAAGTCTTAATTTTTCCTAAAGATTAAATCAAAAGATGAAATTAGTCGTGATCTTAAACAAGCGTTAACATCATCAAATAATGATATACAAACAACATATAATCAATTACGTCAAATCAATATGAACCTATCAGATTTACAACAAAAATATGATCGAGATTTAGCTGAACGTAATAAACAAATTGATATTTTACATAATCAACATAAACAAATAATTGTAAAGATTAAATACTATTTTTTCTTTTATTATTATCTATTTTTTTCTATTCTTAGACAACTTATGATGATAATTTATTAAAAACTCAACAAACAATTATTCAATTGCAACATGATAACAAACAATATTCTAATCAAAATGAAATATATCGAACAACTCTTGAGAAACTTCAAGCTGAACTTGATGAAAAAAAATATGTAAATATTTCAGTTTATTTTATTGTTTTAGTTTATTGTATATTTAGTTTATTGAACAGGTACAAAGTGATTTAACAGAACGATCAGCATTACATGTTAATATTAATAATCAATTATCACAAGAAAATAAAGCACGAATAACAAAAATAGCTGATTTAGAACAAGCTTTATCTCAAGAACAACAACGTGTAAGATTTGTTTTTTTTATAGAAAAATAAGAAAATGATTGTGCTTTTGTTTTAGAAAATCGATTTACAACGAACAATTCAAGATTTACAAGGTGAATTATTGAAATCTCGAACTATCGCTAAAGAATCATTGGAAAAAAATCAAGAACTTGAAAGACGTCTATATGAAACAGATAAACATTTTGAAGAAACAATACGTAATCATTTACATGAATCAACAGAACCAACAAGACGTGAATTAACTTCTCTAAGAGCAGAATTAGTAACGAAATCTGATCAAGTAACAATTTTACAATATGCTATTGATGAAGAAAAACTAAAACGGTAATATCTTTTATTCTGAAAAGAAATTATTCTATTTCTCTTTTTTGTTTTTAGACAACGACTTGAAATGAAATTAAAACGATTAAAAGAAGAATATATTAGTGTACGTAAAGAACTCTATAATCGTATTGAAGAAAATAATTCCTTACAACATGAACTTGTTGAATGTCGATTTAAAAATGATTTCAATATACATATGACAAATCAAACATTTAGTTCAATAAAATCTGTATGTAAATTTCATCTTTTATTTTGATTTTATTCTTATCTAAAATTAGACAAATGAAAATGAACCTTCAACAGCTGTTCAACTTTATTTAAAAGAAAAAACTGATAGTCAACAATGGCAATTAAAATGTCGAACATATCAACATAAAATTGAACAATTACAAAAAAATTATGAATATACAAAAGAAAGATATAAAGAACGTTTACATGAAGAACGGTTTGTTTTTATTTTGTTTTTGTCTTGATTTAATTTATTTAACTTTTTATTTAGAGAAATCTTCGAACGTACTAAACATAGATATCTTGATCATCTTAAAAATGTTCAAAGAGATCTACATGAAACACGACAATTATTAGAAAAAGATACCGAATTAAAATTAAATCAAGAATCAGCTTATCAACAATTAATTGATGAACGACGACAATTATTAACAAGGTATAATCCATCACGATCAATTACTGATGCTTCTATTCGCACTTCTTCTTCTACTATTGATTATATTCACATGAATCCACGGCTTATTAATAATGTCACTTTTTATAGGCAAGTCTTCTGTGCACTTCTTTCATTTTATTATTCATTCCGTTTTTTTACTAAATATTTCTATTGACATGTATGTATTGTTTTTTTAATATGCTTCTTATATGCTGTTAGTTCTTTGCTTTAAAATCAATTCTTCTTCTTCTTCTTCTTGATATTTCTATTTAAATATGTATTAAAAGAAATTCTCTTTTAATATAAAATATTCATATATTATTTCGTTAAACAGTATGGTTGACAAAGATGCAAAAGTACGTGAAATGCGTCGTGAAAATCTTCTATTAACATCCAAAATTCAATTATTAGAAGATCAAATGGAAAATTTAAATGAACGTGTTGATCGAACATTACGTGAACGAAATCAATTTCGTCGAGAAATAAATAGTGTTCGACTTGATAGTAATCTTTCAATCGAAGTATTTATTTTTTTTTCAAATTTTTTTCCTTATTTCAAAAAATAAATCTATATTGATGTTTTTTCTTTTTTACTTAGACTGGTTCTCGATCTCCTTCAAGTCCATCTCCAACACGAGCAACAATAGCTTTTGTTGAATCAAGTTCACGAAATCAACCTGTTCATTATACTGAATCATTTGGTTTTAATAATGGTCATCCAACAGAAACAACATCTGCTTCTTAAAGTTGTTTTCTTCTTCTTTTTTCTCTCTTTTGTTTTATTGTTATGGAAAATTTTATTAACAAAATCTTTTCGTTTTTTTATTTCTCTCAGGCTCTTTATAGTGAAATTCAAAATAACAATGTTCAAGAAATTTTTTGTTTTCTGAGATTTTGTCAGATATTTCCTTTTTTTTTCATTCGAATTTGAAGAATGTATTGAAAACAAAATCGAAATTTCAACATATAATTAGGATATTTTTGTATTATTATTATTATTAATTGTGTGTTATAAAAATAAAAAGAAGAATAAATTGAACATGTATTGATATGCATGAGAAAATAGTCACAATTGTACTTTTGGTTTTTTTGTTTTTAGATTAAAATAAAAAATAAAAATGACTACAAATTTAGTTGCATATGCAAAAGAATTGAGTCGAATTAAACCAGAAGATTTACCTGAAAAATTTCTACAACTTCAACGTAGGTTTTTAGTTTTTCTTTTAGAAAAAAAAATACAAGTTAATTTACTTTCTAACATAGATCTTTTACAACGATCAACATCAATTACAAGTGTTAAACATGAAATAATAGCACTTGATATATTACCGATTTTATTATTAACATTACGACAAGATTTTACATTGACAAATGGATGGCGTTTAGCATCGACCAATCTAAGTCAATTAGCTAGGTAAACTATTATCAAATATACATAGATTCTATTTTCATTTATTTAGTTTATGTATGTGTGTCGAAGTAGATAAAACGAATACGAAAATAAAAGCATGGTCAAATAAATTCTATGATAAATATCTTCCACAAGGTATTGATAGTTTTATTTTACTTACACGTCATTTACAAGATCGATACACACAAGAGAAAAAAGTAATTAAAAGAAAATAATATTGTTTATTTTATTTTTTAATTTATTATTAGTCACATCTTCGACAAGATTATATAACTTATATGAATACAGTTATGAATAATCTTATTGAAGTATTAAATTTTCATTCAAATCAATATTCACTTATAAAACAAGGTTAATAGATTTGAAATAACAAAAATTATTTTATTAATTAAATTTTATTTTAGTTTTGGTTTCATCAAAATTTATGGAATTATTTCTTACAGATGATGTTTATATTTGTTCATTAATGATCAATATTTTTGAAGATATTGTTCGAAAGAGCAGGTATTTTCAATTAAAAACAATACATACACTTACTCATTTCATATTATTTTTATTAGACGTTTAACAGGTCCAAGCGTATTTTATGAATTATCAAATAAATTAAAACAAGATTATGTTAATGAACTTGCTTATAAATTAACTGTATTTGATAATAATGAAGTTGGAAGGTTAGTTTTATCTTTAAAATGAAGTTATATAAATTATTCTTTTAGAGGAGCTGTACGTGCTTTAATTGCTATATGTGAAACTGATTCCAGTATTGTTTCTCTATTATCTGCTAAATTCAAGTAAGTACTACATATAGTAAGATTGAGAACGACGATAAAAATATTATTATATATCTAGAGGTTTACCTACAGTTTTACAACGATGGCATGGTCGAGGTTTTGGAATGGATCTACAAGATTTACTTGCTATCATAAAACGAAGTAGTAAGGATGGACCTTATTCTCGTGAAGATCAAGTATGATTATTGTTTGTTTCTTTTCTATTTTTTATGTTTAATATATTCTAGAGAGAGAACTATGCTGCAAGTCGAATTCAAGCATTATGGCGAGGTCATATAACTCGAAAACAATTGACAAGAGCAAATCAAGCTATGAAACAATTTCAAACTAGTTTCAGGTTTATTTATTTTTTGTTTTAAATTAAATTAAAATAAATAAATTTTCGATTTTAAGAAAGAGAAAACTAAGAGAAATTCAAATGAAAGATCGTGAACGTGAACGTGCTGAAGTTCAATATCAAGCAACACGTGAACATTATCGACGTTTACGTCAATTTAAACTTCAACAAATGCAAACTATTCAATTATTACCTGCATGTAAAAAAAATATTTTCTTTCAAACAAAAAAAGAAACTCTTTATTACTTATTTAGCTGAAGTAGAAAAATATCTTGAAATTCAACGTTTACAAAGTGCAACAAAAATTCAAGCACTTTTTCGTGGTCATTTACAACGACGTAATCTAAATAATGGTGGTCATGATCGTCTTATTGCTGATCGTGCTGCACGTCGTATTCAACGAACATTTCGTCATTATCGTCAACGAAAACTAGCTCAACTCGATCGACGTCAACAACGACTTGAATATATTAAACCAACTATATTAACTGAAGCTAAACGTGAGGAATTAATTGAACAAATTGAAAAATGGAAAAGTGAACGAGCAGTAAAGATTTAATAGAAACCAAAAAAAAAATGCTTTATATTTAATATATGTTATTTTCTAGCCAAGACCAATGTCTGATGAAGAATTTCATGCACTTCATACACGTGGACAAGATAGTCTTAATCGTTATGTAACTACAAATCGAGCATGGCGTAGAATTGAGCAACGACAACGTTTATTACTTCATATGATGAATAATGATTCAGAATTTCTTCTTTCAAGTATTGAAAATGAATAGGAGATTTTTTTATTTTATATAACAATTTTATTTTATTATAGATTATCCAAAATTAAAATCTGTAATGGAACCAAATAATACAATTGATTCGTCAACCAATCATATTGATAAAGCAGCAAGTTATCTTAATCATCCATCATCAGCTATTCGTTATCGTGCTCGACAAGCACATATTGAAGCACTTAAATATGCTCGATCACCATGGTATAAAGCTATACAATTAGCTAATATGGATGAAGATGAAGATGATGAAGATGAATATTTAAATCGTGGTGGTCTCGATGATTTTTCTCGTAATGATATTTTAAATAATCCTACGAGATATGAATATGAAAAACGAAAATTTCATCA